CAGAGTGCCATAAGCTTTGTGTTTATAGTAGTAACTGTGTTGTACAGATTGTTGAGCTGCAAAATTTATCTTAAAATTTATGTAACAGCCAAGTTACACTGATCAGTTTGTTAAAAAGATGAATAAGTTTAATCACATGTGATTAAACTTGTAGAAAATCAGCTTTTTAAAGATAGAAATAATCAGTGTTGATATTTAAATTATTGTAGTTGTAAATGTACAGACTTCCTAACAGGTGAAAGACTGAAAATTCAACAACAGCACAGAAATTAATAGGATTTCTGCATTTGGAAGCACATTATTAATTAACACCTGATTTCATTCATCTCAAATCATGTCACTGATAAAATACAGTTTGCAGTTTAACAACAGCAAAAACTAGAAACTGCACAGCCGTAGCATATAAGAACCTCGCACGTACACAAAGTTTCAATGCACCAGAACTCCGAACTCACTAGAACAGATTAACTGTTTTGGGAGGGGGTCCAGATGGGGTGTGGGGTTACTTATCAGTGGGCCCAAAGGATAGCCCTTCATCAGAGATAAACAACAACAACAAAATTTGAAGCTCCTATGTTGAATTGTTTTTGAGTTTTAAGCATTTTGGTATGTCCACACACCCCTTTTTAGATGGAAAAATCACAAAAATTTTTAAATAAATAAATCGTACAAAAACAATATGACCACCACAAAGCTCCTAAGACGTGTATTTTTCTTTCAGCAAATTTATCCATGATTGATCTGCTAGCAGTTTGTGCAAGGTCACCCCTCACAAGAACAAGTTCAATTCAAAAACTACATTAATTCATGTTTTTAGTGCACCATTTCAAAAAGTCTAAACTAAATCCACAGTCCCAAATTTAAATATTTTATGTACCAGTTGTCTTTTTATCGACTGGTATCATTTAAAGTTCCCCCAAAATACTTAAATGTTCATAGACAATGTGTCAGAGAAACTAGCAGATCTGTGTCATATTTCCACTCTGAGTCCTGATTTCTGTACTCATGTACTGCATTATAATACTACTATGCAGTATGTATTACTGTATTATAAAATATTCTAAATCAGGGGTAGGCAGTCCTGGTCCTCGAGTGCTGCTGTCTGCATGCTTTCTGTGTTTCTCTGCTCCTTTACACCTGATTCAGTGACTGAATTACCTCTTCCAAGTTCTGCAACTTGGTAATCACCCATTCATTCCAATCAGGTGTTGGAGCAGAGAAACCAGTAAAACTTGCAGGATAGTGGCCCTCCAGGACCAGGATTGCCCACTCCTGTTCTACACAAATCTGGGGCTGCAGTAGATTAGTGGTCAGCACTACAGTCTTGTAGTCCTGAGACAAGTTTGAACCCAAGTTGCATGAGAATGTGCATCCACTTTAAACTATTGTTAAAACCTTTCACAAAGCTTTGCTTGCTGTGGTGACCCCTAAATGAGGGAGCAGCCAAAAATAAAAACAAGAGCAACTATTGATCAATACACCAAAACAAGCTTGTTCCATGCAGGCCACTCACAACAACTCACACAACCCAGAGTACCTGCTGCTACAGTACTGGTTTGGTGCCAGTATAACAACACATTCTACAGTCCAGTCAGTGAGGAGCTTTATACACCTGCCATCACAGGACTATCTCAGACCAAGTCAGGAGGATGCAGATATGAGAATCTGTCTGCTCCATGATGGTTCCATGTCATGATCACAATCACAGCAAAGGTATGAGGCAGGGCTCTAGACCGTCAGTATGCCTAACGTTTTTTCTTACAGTAGGTGCACCAACACTGAAGTTAGGCGCGCCCACATTTTTAATTGTGCCACATTTAAACATCGCCATTTTACAGGTTAGATGTGTTTTTAATCCCTGTCCATTACGGCAATATTAAYTTGCAAATAATTAGTCATCATTCTGGCTAATAATTTTAACCAGAATTGTACATGACATATAACATGTTTAAAGTGATTCAGTGACCTGAATTTTTAAATATCCCAAGATAAATGGAATTATATAAATAAGTGCAAATGTTTAACGGCTGAACATCTTATGAACAACTCAAATTGAACATGTCATGGTTAAATGTCTGTTAGAGTACACTAACTCCTGTAGTTTGGCCTTTTGGATCTTTGGCCTTGGCTAAACCAGCTTCCCACTCTCCTTAGCATCAAAATCCAAGGAACAAATGCATCTATCTATTTTGTATTTATTTTCTATGTATTTTTGTACAAGGAGGGTGGGGGTATAAATGTTTTTTTCTTTTTTTTCTTTTTTTTC